TTTCATAAAAAAATTGTGTTGATCCATAGAATTTTTAAAAAGTTAAAGCATTTTAATGTTAAAAATGTATAATATAAAATCGAGAATTTTAACACAAAAATAGCATACAATAATAATTTTCACCATGAAGACAAAAAAAAATCCGAAATTTTTTTTTACTATTATAAAATATACTACATAAGCTTTAATTTAAAATATATATAAAAGTGTCAGTATTTTACAGAACACTTTCAAAAATTATGTTGAAAAGTTCTACTTTATATATGCATTTTTAAGTTTTGACCCCGTCCTATATTAAGGGAATTGTCCGATTTAAAAAAAAAGTTTGTCGAATGAATGAAGTATATAAATATTATTTTTCATAAAAAAATTGTGTTGATCCATAGAATTTTTAAAAAGTTAAAGCATTTTAATGTTAAAAATGTATAATATAAAATCGAGAATTTTAACACAAAAATAGCATACAATAATAATTTTCACCATGAAGACAAAAAAAAATCCGAAATTTTTTTTTACTATTATAAAATATACTACATAAGCTTTAATTTAAAATATATATAAAAGTGTCAGTATTTTACAGAACACTTTCAAAAATTATGTTGAAAAGTTCTACTTTATATATGCATTTTTAAGTTTTGACCCCGTCCTATATTAAGGGAATTGTCCGATTTAAAAAAAAAGTTTGTCGAATGAATGAAGTATATAAATATTATTTTTCATAAAAAAATTGTGTTGATCCATAGAATTTTTAAAAAGTTAAAGCATTTTAATGTTAAAAATGTATAATATAAAATCGAGAATTTTAACACAAAAATAGCATACAATAATAATTTTCACCATGAAGACAAAAAAAAATCCGAAATTTTTTTTTACTATTATAAAATATACTACATAAGCTTTAATTTAAAATATATATAAAAGTGTCAGTATTTTACAGAACACTTTCAAAAATTATGTTGAAAAGTTCTACTTTATATATGCATTTTTAAGTTTTGACCCCGTCCTATATTAAGGGAATTGTCCGATTTAAAAAAAAAGTTTGTCGAATGAATGAAGTATATAAATATTATTTTTCATAAAAAAATTGTGTTGATCCATAGAATTTTTAAAAAGTTAAAGCATTTTAATGTTAAAAATGTATAATATAAAATCGAGAATTTTAACACAAAAATAGCATACAATAATAATTTTCACCATGAAGACAAAAAAAAATCCGAAATTTTATTTTTTGATAATAAAGTATATTACACTAGCTTCAATTTAAGGTATATATAAAAGTGTCAGACTTTCCAGAACACTTTCAAAAGTAATGTTGAAAAAGTAAATTTTTTGTGAAAAAAAATGTCACTCATTTAAACAAAATTATTGAATAAATTCATTTTTTATTTTCACTACTTAAATTTTCTTAATTAAAATAATTATTAATAATTGCGTTAATAACTTTGTTTAATTAAATTAAAAGAAATTTTGTTAAATTTAAACATTATTTGTTATTTTGTATTACATAAATATAAAAACTATAATATTTTTAAGTTAATTATAATAGTTAACTAAATTTTTTTTTTTTTTTAACGCTTCATAAGCCCATTATGGGCCATAGCGGCCTCTTCCAAAGGAAGAAGTTTCTAAACCATTGATACTCTGGGACGGTTGGTTAGTCAGTCGCCGGAGAAAGGGATGGCGACTCCAATTACAAAACTGATGTCTCGGCCGCTCGTGACCGAGTTTCGAACCCGAGACAGTGCGCGTCAAGCACTGCTGCGTTACCGACTCGGCCACACCGTTCCTTAGTTAACTATAATAGCCAAAAAAAAAAAAACAAATTGAAATGCTGACATTACATTGCATCTATTTCATGTTGTAAAAAAAATAAATTAATACATTAAAACCGTGGATCACCTGGGAAAATACAAAATAGATTAGTTTAAGTTATCACTTCTGTCGCGCGTCCCGTGACGCACACGTTTTTTTTATATTATTTCAAGTGCACCATGCCAAATGTACGTGATTCGAATTTTTTCTTTTTTTGTATGTGCGCCTATTAGTTTACCGGTCCCTCGACATTTCCAAAAGTATAAAATGTTAAGTTTTTGTTCAAAAATTAGTATTACAATCCCCGATGTAGACAAATTAAATGTCAGATTCCCAGAAATATGTACTAATGAGAGTTCTAAGTAAAAAGAATTATAAAAATCATAATTTTTTAGGTTATGTTTTGGGAGAGAATTTNTATAAAAATCATAATTTTTTAGGTTATGTTTTGGGAGAGAATTTTTTTCAATTTTTGAAGGTAATGTCTTTAACTAGATAACATTTTTAATTTTTTGACGTATCATTACAAATAATTGGTACAGTAAGGTCAAAAAAAAATGGATGACATTGTCTTCAAGAGAGTCAAAATTAAAAGCACTTAAAATAAATTCCTCCTCAGCATCGCTTCGAAGCTAAAAATTTATATTAATAATATTGCCATGATTGAAAAAAAAAAAATTTGAACATAGAA